TTCTTACACCCCCTAATACCTCTGTTATCTCCACGAATAACTCTTCTCACATTCATTTATCACAGTGCACAGCTAATGCAGACGACACGAGTTCGCGAAACGTCGTTCCTGGTCTCCTTAAACCCCGTTCCAAACTACATGTTGGAGCATTTAATGTACGGACATTGTGTCAGATAGGGTAACAGGCATCATTAGTTAGGACTTTAGAATCTCGTGCCATCGATGTATGTTGCGTCTCCAAAACGCGCATACAGGATCCTAGTAAAATTATTAATCTGATTTCACCTTATCAAAATAAAGAAGCAGCTCGATTTACTCTTCGTGTATCCGGTAGCCCTGATGCTGCTTCCAGAGGTCCTGCTGGCGTAGTTATAGCATTGAGTCGTGGAGTTGAACAATCTCTCCTTGACTGGATCACTGTAGATAGTCGCTTGTGCGCTGTCCGACTGAACGGAACAGTAAGGATTCGAAAGGATAGGGACAATCGCCATTGCCTCTTCATCGTATCTGCCTATGCCCCCACTGACTGCAGTTCAGACGAGGTTTAAGATGCGCGCAACGAACGTGAACAGTGGTGGGTGGCGAAAGCAAAAGCGATAGAAAAGGCACCGGCGATCGGCAACAGTAGACAACTTTTCCGACTTATCAAGGAAACTGGTATAAGGAATCCTAGTGTAAGTGAGACCATCTCAGAAAATGACGGGACTATTATTTATTCTCAATCCAGGAGACTGGATCGATGTGCAGAACACTTTAGAGATCAGTTCAACTGGCCTCGAGACACTCTTCGGTTACCCACGATCTCAAGTCATCCTGAATGGCAAATTGACATAAGTCCCCTTAGTCTTAATGAAGTTGAAAAAGCGTTAGGAAATCTGAAGCGAGGACGAGCTGCAGGTCCTGATAGACTGACCCCTGAGATATTTAAGGATGGTGGTCCAGTTTTAGCAGCTAGATTGACTGAGATCTTAGGTAGAATCTGGGAACTGGACGTAATCCCATCCGAGTGGTCTCAATCACTGATTGTTTCAATCTATAAGAAAGGGCAAAAGTCCTCTTGTGACAATCACAGGGGAATTAGTCTAACTAATATAGTATCTAAAATATTGGCCTCAGTAATACTTCGACGCTTAACGAAAGCTCGTGAAGAGCAAACTCGAGAAAACCAATCTGGTTTTCGACCTGGACGTGGTTGTATAGACCACATTTTCACACCACGTCAGGTCCTGGAACACAGACACACATTTGGACGTCCTACAATAGGTGTTTTCCTGGACCCAAAAGCGGCATTTGACTCTGTAGATCGTGAGGTTCTGTGGCAGTGTCTGTCATTGAAAGGTGTACCAAAGAAGTACATTAACCTCATACAAGCTCTCTACTCAAACACCACTGGTCGAGTGAGAGCTTATGGCGAACTGTCACCGGAATTCTTCACTTCAGGTGATGTCCGTCAGGGATGTCCACTCTCTCCATTCTTGTTTAATTTTATCATAGACATGCTCCTAGAAATAACCTTGTCCTCGTCTGAATTTTCAGGAGTAGACCTTTTACCTGGTGGCTGGCTTATTGACTTGGAATATGCCGATGACATTGTCCTGCTTGGTGAATGCGCTGACAAAATGCAGAGTCTTCTGACTACCATAAGCAACAATGCAAGCATGTTCGGCATGCGGTTCTCACTCTCGAAATTCAAAACGTTGCTCCAAGACTGGGTTGCATCGGCACCTGAACTAGTGATAGGGAGTGAAGTAGTCGAGCGTGTAGAACACTTCACTTATCTGGGGAGTCTCATCAGCGCTGATAGCCTGGTGACTGACGAAATCTCAGCGCGGATACAGAAAGCTCGATTGGCTTTTGCCAACCTGCGTCACTTATGGCGTAGGCGTGATGATATCTGTTCGCTAATCAAAGGACGGGTGTACTGCGCAGTGGTTCGCTCCGTCTTACTTTATGGCTGTGAAACATGGCCAATGAGAGTAGAAGATATTCTTAGGTTACTGGTCTACGATCGTAGGTGTCTTCGAAGCATAGCTCGTATACCATGGGACACCCGAGTGAGCAACGCTGTTATTAGGAAACGGGTTCTAGGTAAGAATGGCAGATCAATAGATGAAGTGCTGAAACTTCATCAGTTGAGGTGGTTGGGACATGTGTTGCGTATGTCCAACCACCGACTGCCTCGTCGAGCTGTTTTGTAGTGTAGGAATAGGTTGGAAGAAAGCTAGGGGCGGCCAAACCAAAACATGGCAGAAATCCATGAAGTCATTGACGAGTGGACTTAGCCATGTCGGTAATTGTCGACTACCTGGTTGGGGTCCGCGAGATGATAATAATCGATGGTTAGAGACCTTGAATGACATGGCTCAAAATCGTTCGCAATGGCGCCGGTGCATTTAATCTTTGTGTTCTCTCTGGATTCAACCCCTCTAGTTTTGACTTTCTAAACTTTTCTCATTTAATCATACTTCTTGAATAATATCTTCTAATCCTAACCTCTCCGATTACTTCTAATACCCGTACTAACTCTTCTACTATTGGATTTGAATTGACAATTATATCTCTGTGCTGATGTGGTATGGCGACATGAACTGATGTACTTACGTACGAAGTTCTACGTTGCAACTGACTGACTGAAAATAATTGTGCTCAGTAAAGTTACCAATATTCGCCCCATTGTCTCGAAAGAATGCGCAGAATTTTTCAGTTCACTGATATATGACCTGTTCAGGCATTCCCTGGAGTCATATCAAATCCTAGCTAAATGGAAACAAACTACTCTCTCTTCAATTTTCAAAGGAGGAGATAGAAAGGACCCAAACCGTTATAGACAAAGCCTTACATCTATTGAGGAATGTGCAGTGGAAAACGGGTTAAAACCAAACCAGTCGAAATGTCACGTTATGCACATTCCGACCAACGTGACATAAACGACCCATGCCCTCGATGGAATTCCGCTCCCTAACATCTCCTCGAGGCGCGATCTCGGTATAACAACCTCTGAAAGCCTCCACACCAGTTCGAACTATGTAGTGGACTCATCCTAGGTTAACGCCTCACCTCATAATTGTTCTTAACACTCTGAGAAGCATACGCACAACCACACTTTGAGATTTACAACGTCGTCGCACCCCTTCTCCTTAAAGGAGACAAACTTCTTTGATTGAGTGCAGAGACGAGCAACTAAATGGGTGGTCGGGTTGAAGTGCAAACCGCGCAGAGATAGACTGCAGCACTTGGGATTGTCCTCTCTGAGTTACTGGAGAATCAGAGGTGATGTAATAATGGCGTACAACATATTAAGCACGACAAATCATCTCAACAGGAGCATGTTTCCGAAGCATCACACAACACCCCTCGAGTTAATCGTGGAAAATTCGCACATCTAAGAGCGATCAACCAGGTACGCTTCCACTTTTCCTTATTAAGAGTTGTTGCAACATGGAATGCTCTCCCAGCCGAGGTGACCACAGCCCATTCAGTGGACAGCTTCACGAAATGGCTTGATAAACACGTGCTCACATACGGATTATCATCTCCCTCTTGGACTAGCTGTGCCTGATGCATGTCATCTATTTGACCTTACCATGTCAATGTAGAGAACCAGCTCGACTGACTATCTGATGTACATAAGCTACAAGATCCTAAGGAAACACAATATAAAGCTGTTTTGGTCACTAGCTGCCATGGGTGTACAAATACCTAATAAATGTGTAACCATATATTTAAAGCCTAGGAAAAATAGCTTCGAAGGTTTAATTGTCCCTCACAACATAACCTTTATTTATTGTCTTTACGTACCGAATTTGCAGTTATCTATCCTCATTATCACGTCTACTATATTAACTTGACCCCTCTACCAATTATCATGCTGATTACATCTTATCGTGCAATGAAAAAGTGAGTCAACACACATGCACCGGCTTCTATGTTGTTAATGATTGAGTGAGGTATAAGTTAAGGTGATCTAGATAATCTACACGTGCAATATAACCCAGTAATGTAAGTATTATGGATTTTTTAAGGTACATATAATAGTTGATCAAAATCCAAAAAAGACACTACTTTCATTTGAGACTTGTTGCTACTGTAAGAACTACAAATACTTGATCAGTTTATACATTCACGATGCAGCCTGTGCTTAGTTAGAATCACCAATTGAGCAATGACAGAGCTGGACTGACGTATAGACCAATAATAATAAACACTGCAATACGTTTAAATCAAATGTCACAGACTCATCAGTGTATTTGGTAACCAGTATATATATATATATATATATATATATATATATATATATATATATATATATATATATATATATATATATATATATATATATATAGTGGGTAAAAGGATAGCGACAAATTATTTTTTCAGGCACAAGGTGAAGTTAGACTTGTCAAATGCCTAATTTTGCCTCTAGGTTGTATGGAGCAGACAAATATATGCTACCCTTATTTCCTAACTCTAGACCCTCAATTTAACAACAAACCCTAACCTGATTGACCGGAATTTTATGGACGAACTAATCAGATAATATCTTTTACATCTTTCGGCGAAGTTCGTTCACTTATATGGCTTACAAAGTGGTAGTGATGATGAAAACCATAGCTCTAGTCCTAACTCTAATTACGTATAATGTCTGTTTAGGTTTGTAAGGGGATTCGAGCATATTGAAAGACTCAATCCATTAGGTCGAGTTTGTAAGTCACTGCTTTTTTTTATTTACAGGCAGAATAACTTTCAGTAGACATTAAAAAACTAACTGTGTAAACTGCTTGCACTTTCAAATAGTTTTGTTTTTTCCATAAACTATCAGTTCATAAAAGCTGTTTCTAGATTGACTGGAAAGTAGCTGTATATTCTTTGAGGTTGTTTTAAGCTTATTATTAAACTACATTTTCGCTGTCCAGTGAAGTTTGAGTGAAAAACTTCAAAGAAATTTCGAAAGTATATTGATAAGTACAGTTTGATCATTTTTATGACAAAGAAATCATTTTTCACATAGTATCTTCTGAATAAGATATGGAAGGACAATAACTTGGATGAATTGATTCATGGTAAATATCTTGCTCAAAATCATCATCAACATCAAGGCACAAGCTTAGATCGAGTTGATTTGAAATAGTTTCATCCACAGAAGGAGGAAGATATGTTGGAACAGGTGGCGGATTAGCATTTAGTTGAGATCGACGATTTATTAACCAAGAATCATTCAAAAGACAGTAGGAATGTACAGGCCCCGGTGTTGTACCTGGTACATATATAAGGCCAAGTTTCGGATTAATTCTCACAATCTAGAGAGAAAAAATAAGTAGGAATATAAAAAAAAAAGTAAGAGAAACTCTCAAGGTACAGAAATGTATATTCTCAACGAGTTAGATAGAATAAAATTAATAAACGTATTATCTCATGCACGAATTTGAACCCCCATTTAACTGGAAGATGAATTATTAGCTTATATTCATTTTCTTAAAATTTACTTGATCAACTTTTCTACATTAGGAACATTTCTAGTATTATTATTTAGCGTCAAAGTTTAGGCGATTTCACATGACATTTATTATGGCCATTTATGAAGTTAGGTAATATCATTGTAAACTCGCTTATATTTAGTTACCAGTAGATATGAGCAGCCATTTGGAAACTACGTATATAGAAACCAGTTGAACAGGCCTTGATCAATGATGCTCTATTTAACAATATAAGATATTATTGATCACAGGAGAAAGATACATTCTCAGCCATTAGGAAACAGACTGACTTCATGACGAAGCAACGGTGACAAATATTGAAGGAATCCACAAGAAATCTACCAGAGTTTAAATTTTAATAGCTCACTACCAAGAATAAGTACAAACTGTTGCTTCAGTTGATTTTTCACAAGTACTTGAACTTTAATGGATCATAAAAATAGCATAAGCTGGAAAGTTCAGAAAGCAGATGAGTTTACTGAGTACATATTTGTATTCTGAGAATTTTTCTACCACAGAAACATTATAACTTTATCTAAGTATATTAATGTCTTTTTAAATATTTATCATATCGATATGTACTATTTTAAGCTGAGTTATATCTCTATAGTTTATAACACAGACTAATCTTAATTAGACAACCAGTAAAAGAAAGGAAGCACTGGATAGATGCTTTATTTCAGTAAAAAAAAACTCAGTAATTTGTATCTATGATATCACCAGGGATCAAAGTCAGAAATATCCAAGTTAACCATATTCACAACCCCCCCCCCACTATACTGAGTTTTATTTGCGTAATTGTCATGATGAAACGAATAAATGTAGTATTAGATAAAATGTTCGAGAAAATAAAACTTAACTGACCATTACACCACGCAAATTTCTGAATCGATTACCCATAACACCTGCCATACGTTTGCCTCGATGAATTACTCCCTGAAAAATTTTAATGTGACAAGGAGAAACATAGCAAAACATGCAAATCATATATACACAATTGTAATATATATGAGAGAAATGTACTATAATACTGTTAATCACATCATTAATTAGGATATACCAACAATACTCGTAGTATTATGCTGAAATACACAAAAATAACGGGAATGTAGAAAATTTTTCTTCTTCATAATGTATTCAACAGTATTATGCTTGTATATTTCCTAATCCTGATCGGATTCTATTAACCAAACACGGAGTACTTGGTGTCAGGCCATTTGGACTAGTGGTTGTATAGCGGATTGATTTAGGGAGTTCGATCAACACTAACAAAGGACACAGACATGGTATTGACTACTACTTAGCGATAAATAAGTGTAAAAGTGCTAATATTAAAAGTTAGTCGTGGCCTAAATGGCATAGTTGTACACGTATCCAATTGTGGTATTTGGGTGATCCTGATGCTGGTTCAAATCTTACATAGAACATCAATCACCTCAGAATTACATGTATTCCATGTTGATGAATGTCAATTGGCGTGAAAATCAAGTTCAAGGTTTTCTGATGATCATCACTAGCCATCTTATATATGCAAGAAAATTAATAAAGATAATATCCTACTTACTCCACATCCTGCGGCACTTCCCATTCTACGATGAAATTTAGTAGAACCATGAGCAGCAGGTCCACCTTTCATTCCCCAACGTTCAATAACCCCTTGAAATCCACGATTAATGCTGTAAAGAGAAGGATACTAGACTAAAATGAATAGGTAAATTATAATTAATATAAATGATATAAAGGAAGAAAAGTGAATTTCAAAAAACACTGTTTCAATGATATTTATTGACTAATTAGAGAAACTAATTATTTCTTTTAAAATGATCGATAATCGGATTGTGTGGAAACAATTTGTATCATAACTGAAATCAATTCAAACATAATCCACGAATTCTGTATTGTTAAATATACCGTATACAACAAGAAAGATAACATTATACAGATGGCAATGTGTAAATCTTGAAGGCAACATAATCAAATCGTATCATCAGTGAATATTCCTTATTCATGAAAAATTTTCCGACGAAAGAACCTCAATCACACCTGATCAGTTACATCAATTTTCATGGTTTGACAAGTGTTTGCAGAGTCAAAGAGCATTAAATATATCAACGAAAATATTCACTTTTCATTTATAGATTTGTTCTATTTTTTAAGCTACTATTTCAGTTTGTGGTGGTTTAGATTACCCATTTGTCGATTTATTATATGATTATCAATTGACTTGAACAATTCAATAAGAATATATATATATATGTATATGGTTGGCGGTGGTCCAGTTTTAACAGTTAGACTAACCGAGATCTTAGGTAGAATCTGGGAAATGGACACAATACCATCTGACTGGTCTCAGTCGCTAATTTTCCCAATCTATAAGAAAGGGCAAAAGTCCTCTTGTGACAATCACAGGGGAATCAGTCTAACTAATATAGTTTCTAAATTGTTAGCCTCGATTATACTTAGACGTCTAACTAGAGCTCGCGAAGAGCAGACTCGAGAAAACCAGGCTGGTTTTCGACCTAGACGTGGTTGTATAGACCACATCTTCACACTACGACAGGTCCTGGAACACAGACACACATTTAGACGTCCGACAATAACCGTGTTCCTGGACCTAAAAGCGGCATTTGACTCAATGGATCAGGAGGTTCTGTGGCAGTGTCTGTCATTGAAAGGTGTACCAAGTAAGTACATTAACCTTATACAAGCTCTCTACTCGAACACCACTGGTCGAATGAGAGCATATGGCGAACTGTCATCTGAATTCTCTACATCAAGCGGTGTCCGTCAGGGATATCCACCCTCTCCATTCTCGTTTAACTTTGTTGTAGACATCCTCTTAGAGTTAACATTAAGCTCGTCAGATTTTTCAGGGGTTGATCTTCTACCAGGAAAATTGCTTACTGACCTAGAACATGCCGATGACATTGTCCTACTTGGTGAAGGCGCTGACAAAATGCAGAGTCTTCTGACTACCATAAGCAACAATGCAAGCATGTTCGGGATGCGGTTTTCCCCCTCGAAATGCAAAATGTTGCTCCAAGACTGGGTTTCATCGGCACCTAAACTAGTGATAGGGAGTGAAGTAGTCGAGCGTGTAGAACACTTCACTTATCTGGGGAGTCTCATCAGTGCCGATGGCCTGGTGACTGACGAAATCTCAGCTCGGATACAGAAGGCTCGATTGGCTTTTGCCAACCTGCGTCACTTATGGCGTAGGCGTGATATCCGTTCGCTAATCAAAGGACGGGTGTACTGCGCAGTGGTTCGCTCCGTCTTACTTTATGGCTGTGAAACATGGCCAATGAGAGTAGAAGATACTCGTCGGTTATTGGTTTTCGATCATAGGTGTCTTCGAAGCATTGCTCGTATACCATGGGACACCCGAGTGAGCAACGCTGTTATTAGGAATCGGGTTCTAGGTAAGGATGGCAGATCAATAGATGAAGTAATGAAACATCATCAGTTGAGGTGGTTGGGACACGTGTTGCGTATGCCCAACCACCGACTGCCTCGTCGAGCTGTTTTGTAGTGTAGGAATAGGTTGGAAGAAAGCTAGGGGCGGCCAGACCAAAACATGGCATAAATCCATGAAGTCATTGACGAGTGGACTTAGCCATTTCGGTAATTGTCGACTACTTGGTTGGGGTCCGCGAAATGATAATAATCGATGGTTAGAGACCTAGAATGACATGGCTCAAAATCGTTCGCAATGGCGCCGTTGCATTTATTCTTTGTGTTCTCTCAAATCCTAGTCTTCTGGATTCGTCAGCACCTCTACCTTTGCCTTTCTAACCTTATCTCGCTGAATTATACTTCTTGAATAATATCTTCAAACCCTAGTCTTCTTCATTACCATTAATACCTCTACTATCTTTATCACTATGGGATTTGATTTGACATTTGCGTCTCTGTGCTTATGTGATATGGCAACATGAACTTATGTACATACGTACGAAGTTCTACGTTGCAACTGACTGATATATATGGTTTGATAATGTGTGAAATAAGTGACTGGTACGTATTGCATAGACAAACTGCTGTCTGGTAAATTTATGATCGGTAAGAAAATCACAAAAATATACAGACATTTAATTTGAAAAAGAGAGACTTACGTTCTTGCAGTTATATCCAAATAATCACCTACACGAAAATGATGCACACTCAAAGGTGTTCCTAAATTTAAGACAATACACAAAATCCTTTAACAAAACAGTAGACGATGAATAAATTACTGAGGTTTTTTGTCCTATATGTAAGCAGTTCATGGTCTATATCAGGTATTCACTCATAAACATTGTAGGATCTGGAATAAATATACACCAGTTCAAGTCACTGCTTCATATCAACACAGCCAGATGGACATATAAAGACAAATGTCACAGTAGTATCAGTGGTAACGGCACCAATAGTGATTGAAAAGACTAAACACAGGCAATATGGCCGGAGAGAAAGTGAATATATAGAATAAATACTAGATGACTTTAAAATTTAAGGTCTGAAGGAAGAGACAGACTGGATAGACCTGAATCATTGGAACTGTTTAACAACCACACCACCCAATGTGTCCAACCATATTTTTACCAATGTATCTAAGTTGTTCAGGTTTGACATACATATTGTCCCCTCACAATTCATGTTTTATTTTGAGATGTGACCAGGGAATATTAGACATACACAACCACTAACTATGACGGCGATAGTTTGATAATAGTAGTTTGTTAATATTAGATGACACCTAAAGGCCAAAAATATGGATCAGAGGAGTGTGGATAACGTTCAATCTCAAACTAAAACAAAATGATTATTCTGAATTTCTTGGTGCTAGCTTAAAATTCATCAAAAAATGCAATTAGGATAAGACTGGAAGCTTTGTGTAAGGATCACAAATAACATTTATTCAGAAAACAAAACGTAAAGAGCTTAGATGCGAAATCTCATGTACAAAAACAACAAATAAAATGTGTTTGCATATCAAATACCCAACCAAAAACTATGACTAAATGCCCGGTCAACAATTACACCAAAAACCCGACCGTAGCTGCTACCTTGACGTGGAGGTAGAACTTGCATATTGTGATGATTCAATCAAGTTATGTAGGCTAAAACACCTGCTCCTTTAGGTCCACCATGACAGTCAGGTCTACTGGAGAATGGTAGAAATAAAAGCAGCAACTTAAGATCTAAGAGAGAGGTTATGCTGCTGACTGTAGAGAAGCGTAAAAGCAGTTAGATGCTTACCTCAGACAACCAGCATCTGAAGCAATCCTGCCTTCTCACAACGGAAGGAGTTAGAAAGGATAGACTCTAACTGCGTCACACCTTACACCAGAGATTTACATCTTCAGCGGTAAGCTCATTTGAAGGGAGGAGCTAGCACTCCAAAAACTTCCTACAAGAAGACCGTGTATGACCGACTGTCCAGAAGCAGTTGTCCTATGAGCTCTGTGGTCACGCTCCCAGGTCGCTAAGACCAACACTAACGCAACACTTCCTTTTCACATTTCTGAAAAAACACTCTTCCACAGTGTGGGCAACCGGGAACAGACATCCACCCGATTACTCGAACAGTACACAAAATCAAATCGCTCACAACCAAATCGTTCCCCACCTCTTAATAACTCTCTCATCTCCATGACTAACACTTCTCGTATACCTCTATTACCAACTTGCGTCACTAAGGCTAACGATTTGAGTACACGAAGTGTTATTTTTGGTCTGGAAAATCCGCTCCAAACTACATGTCCGGACCTTGTGTGAAATTGGACAACGGGTTTCCTTCGCTAAGACTTTAGAATCTCACACCATTGATGAACGTTGCGTCTCCAAAATGTGCATACAGAATCCGAGTAAAGTGACTCGGTTGATCTCACCTCGTCAAAATAAAAATCCACCGTGATTTATGCTTCGTGTATCTGGTAGCCCCACTGTTGCCTAAGGGGACTCACTGGTGTAGATATAGCATCGAGTTCTGAAGCAAAACTAATCCTCTTAGACTGATTTGTAGTAGACAGTATCTTCTACGCTACCCGACTAAACGGGACAGTAAGAATACGGAAAGATAGGAACACTCGCCGTTATCTCTGCCTGCAATCCGAATGATTGCAGCTCAGGTAAGGTAAAAGATGAATCTTGCGGAAACTTTTCAAGCTTCTTCAAAAGGCCAAACGCTAATGTTGTCATAGTGGGTGGTGATTTTAATGCTCAGGTAGGTAAACTAATCGATACTGAAAGACACCCAGGTGGATCTTATGGTGTCGTGGCTCATAGAAAAAACAGATGATGTCGATCGTCTGCTGCACCTACGCTCAGATAACCGCCTATTTCTAACAAATACTAACTCTAAACATAAGGAAAAGCACATTTTGACATGACGACCATCAAACGTCGACTCAACTCTGTACTAAAATGCACCACATTGCTATCTACCGCTGATAAA